CTGTTTAATTGCAGCCTGCAGAAAACTGTAAATTGTCTATGGGGAGAGTTTATAATGTGAGATTTATTCGGGATTTGTTTGATCAGTTAGGAGTATAGGTGCAGAGATGGCCTGGCCCTATAAATCCTGTCTCCTGAACTAGTAGCAGTACTTTCTTATCTGCAGTTAATGAGGAAATTCTGTCTGAAGGGAACCATTCACTACTGAACTTCAAAGAGGGGTTTTCCCCTTTCTGTCTTAAAAGAGGGGTGGGAAGAAATTTAGTTTGACTTTGGAAAATCTTGTAAAAATGTAAATAAAAAAGACATTTCATGTTTTGGGGGCATGACAAGACTACCTTCTCTCAAAGAAATACAGGAGAAATACGTTGTGCCTTAGAAACTTGAACCTTTTCAGTATAATTTTCAAAGGTCAAATTAATTCTGTTTTGGGCCTTGTTTATATTGTGTTTCAGCCATCATTTTCCAGTGCACAGTAGTGATTTTTTTTTTCCTTTCTTCCCTGTTTTTGTTCAGTATAAACAGTTCCTTGCTGTGGTTACAGACAAATATAGCAAGAACCCTCTCCTGAGAGAAGAGTCTCCCCGTGCATTTCTTAACCATTTTTGGGAAGAATCAATCTATCTGTGCACGCAGGGGAGGGAGGCAATAGCTGTAAATTGAAGTGACATCATATATATTACTCCCATTGATCTGCTTTTAGACTAGAGCCAGGATAAAAGGAAATGGCATCAGGGAGGAAGTATGCTCATTTAGGCACAGATCCCAGTGTGATAATGGAGTAATAATAGAAATCACGCCACTGTCAATCGGTTGCTGCATTAGTCTGAGGCAGATTTCCCCTCCAAGGAGGCTTTCAATGACTTCATTCAAGTGCAGGCAGGAGCAAATGGGATATTCAGCATACCAGATGTACTACTTTAGTGATTTGTGTCCTGGCTTAGGGGTGCAGTGCAAGCGCTGGTGTTGTGGATGCTCAAGTAGATATATCTGTGTCACATTTCATGGCAGTGAAAGGTCAGTAGTCAAATGTTTCAGTGGCATTTTTTCTAGTATAAAGGGTGAATCTGGCATTTATTGCATTTGTTAATGTAGGAAATGATAAATACGCTCCTTTGCGTGGGTGGTCTTTCTGGGATGTGAGGTCGATGACCTCTGTATCTGCCATACCAATCTTTTTTAAACAGGCAAGATGTATTTTCTTTGTACTTTTTACAGGTTAGGAGTAGGTTTCAGCAAACTCAGTTTGGTTGCAAGATTATTTGTAGAAACCCTTTCAAACCTACCAATATCTTGAGATATTCTTGTAACACAGTATAGTGGCTTAAGTGTCTTGTGTACTGAAATGAATAAAATACAAAGTATGCTTTCTTTCAGTTCCCAGGTATTTAGTATACATTGAGTCTCTGCCCCATTAAGCTGCTTCAGTAATAGTCTGAATTATATTTTCAATTTGGTTACATTTTCTTTAATTCTTTTATCTTGCCTTTTTTTTAAACACAGACCTAGTTTTGAGACTCCTGATCATTTGGTTTAGAGGTAACAGCCTCATTATTCAACCTTTAAAACCACAACATCAGGTAAGATAAAGGAAACGGGACAAATGGCTTATTTAGTGGCAGGACAAAGTGAACTCTTTCAAAATGCTGAAGAGTTGCAGGAGAGGTTTTGCAGTCTTAAGGGCAAGGTAATTTATACAGTGCTGGGATACAGCTTTATAGTGTGGATGATGTTTAGTGATATGGGACATGACAGAAAAGCTCTGGTGTGCTTGATTGCATCATACTAATTTATTTCCTCTTTGTAGTGTCAGTTCTTGGAGCTGGAGAGAGGGGGAGGGGCAACCCTGGGAAAAGCGGTATGATTTCCTTGTGGCAGGCATAGGCTGGGACATGAGCTATCTACGGTATCAATAGATGCTGTTGCAGCAGTCATTGCTGTAATGAAGATGGTTTCTTGATACTTGCCACATTGCCTGATTGAAGCAATCTACTTTATATTTGAGCATTTTGATTGAGCATGCTCCAATAAAATTCAGAGTGTGATTGATATTTTTTTTTTTTTTTAAACAGGGACACTGACATTTTGTGTTTGAGTCGTTACGGTTGTTTTCTGAACGTTCTCAGCATGGAGACACATATTGACATAGTGAAGTTTATCCTGCTGTGTTTTGCTGCAGCTGTGCTGTGTGGGTTTTTTTATGTATGTTAGATGTTCAGTATGCATTCACAGTTGTAAAGGAAAATGACATCACAGTACTTGAAAAGAAATGTACTTTTTGTTTCTCCAGCATTTATGGTTTGGTAGCATTTAAAAGCAAGGGCCGCTTTGTATTAATCATAAGGCAAACAAATGGAAAATCAACAGTGTGTACCTCAAACAATTCTCATGATGTGAAAGGTGAGAAGTAACAGGTGGGTGGAACAATAAGGACAGTCATAGGGAAAATGAAAAATAACAGAGTGTGGATTTTTTGACTGAAAATTCAAGTGCAATTTTGTGAAGTTTATTTATAACTGTTAAAAAGCTTCTTTGGAGAGAGCATTATTCATATTGCTGTGTTTGGGGAAAAGATTTCTAAACCTCTGAAGGAATTCTATAGTAGTCTCTGTAGTTATGAAACTTTGGTGGAGCTTTCTGCCTCTGCTTAGGATAGATTTTTCTCTTAAGCAGAGTCTGTGTTACTAAAAGGAAAGGGTAAGAAATGAAAGAATGTTCCTCCTTTTATCTGTGTTGGAAGTGGGAGAACACAATGTAATAGCTGTGCCCACTAGTGCCACTTTGGTTATAGGTCTATCAGCATTTCTTCTGCGGGTGCTCTCACCCTCTCTGACAGTCTTTGCTAGCTCCTACCGTGGACTTTAATTAAACCATGAGCTGGAAACTGGTATGTAAAGTCTAATCTTGGGCAACTGGAACGTGGGAAAATAACAGGTCATGGTCTCAGATTTTTTTTTTTTCTCTGCAGTCTTAAATGTAAAGTAAGAATTTAAGCTGTAATTCTGAAAACTCTTCACCCATAATGCAGCACTAGGCAGAGGTAAATTAAGGACATGGCTGTTGATCTGCTTTTGTTGGCTTCAATGAGATTCTGTAATGTTATCTTAAACAATAGCTTTCTGTGGGTGAATCTGTATAGCAGTTATACTGGAGATATAAAATAATATCTGTTCTGTACCTATGTATTCAAGCATGTGTTCTACAGTTTCTACAAATTTATTATTGTGCTGTCTTTGTAGTTAGCAGGGAAAGCTTTCTAAATCAGAAGTTACCTTTCTGTGCATGGTGGTCTACAACATTCCAGATTTTATTAGTGTTCAGAATGAATTCCGTTTCCAAACTGAGCCAGTTCCCAGAAGCCTTCCCTGTTCTATTTTTTAGAGTGTCTCACCATCCCCCAGGCAGCTGCTGTTGAACTGTGCAATAAACATTCAAGTTGGTATTTTAGTAGTTGTCCTGAAATTGAAATACTTAATTTCTTAAAATGAATATTTTTAACCACTCCATTGTGTTGGCAAGCTTTGGTATCACTTAGAAAATGTTAGAGTAAGATGTGAGTTTTTTTCAGTCTTTAAGAAGACAACTTGAATAATAAAAAAACGGAAGGAAATCAAAATGCAAGGAAACCAAAGTAATAATATCCTAGAGATCTCTTTCTCTTTGTTCTGAATTAGATAGTAATGCTAAATTATGTCTGGCTAAAAGGGAAGGATTCCTGTTGCTTAGTTAATTGTTAATGGTGATATTTTACAGATTAAGACCTATCAGAAGATCCTTGATACCTTCCTGGACTTGCTGTCAAAAGTCAGGGGTCCAGATTTGTCAGTCCACATAAACAGCTCTGGCTGTGGGGTGTGTTGTTGGAAGAGGCATTTCCTATAGCCAACTTCATTTTGTGCATGCCTAATGCATTGATGCAGCAGAGGGGGACACGGGCAGCAAGGCGGGAGCAGAGAATCACCAAATGTGATAAAAGCTGGAGGTAGTGTTAAAGTAACAGGATATCTTTTTTGCTTAATGTGTCTGAAGACCATTAGAAGTGAACAGTGCTGGTTTCTTTTTGGTGTGCAAAAACTTAAATTCACATCCTTCCTCCCTTTCCCCTTTCTCTTTTGGCACCCTGCAATGATGAATAGTGGGGAAAGCTTTGGGGCATATAACAAATTTCTGACTGATGGCCCCAAACCCTGAATTTCCAATAGATCTTTCCTGGCAGCTGGTGTAATTTCTGTTTGAGCTCTGTGAATTATTTATTTGTTCATCCAATAAGCCTATTAAACAGAGCACTTAAGCACTTGCTACATCAGACTTCTTGTGCTTTTTCTTTTTAGGTTACATTAGGTTCAACTTGAAAATGATAGGTTCTGGAGTCAGGCATCTAACTACTAAATCTATGTATGTGTATCGATAGATACATACTGTGTGTGCACAAACATAATGTCCATGCGTCTTTACCATGCAATGATGAATGGCTTGTGCTTCAGGATGTCATTACAACACTTGTTTTGTAGGTCACTTATTTGTGTTGTGTTCCTTTATTCACTGTAAGAATATTGTGCAATTGCTCACAGAGCAGATAAAAATGCCACTCTTAAAAATTATGCATTCATATGTCTGGTTGATTCCTGAAATTATGCACTGTGAATTATCTTTTTTTATCCCTTCTCAGCCCAAACAAAATGGAATTACTCAGCATATGTATTCCATAAAAATCTTACTTAATAAGCTATGATTATGTTTTGATAAGATAAGCATGGTTTAGATCTCATCTAACTATAGTAGTGAAAACCATGGAAAATTTGGCTCCAGCACAGAGTCTTTCAGAACACAGACACATAAACCCTGAGGTTTTCCAGAAGGTGGCTAAAAATTCTTGTTGTATTTCAAACATGTGCTAGAAGTACACAGGTTATCACACTCTGGTCCCCTGTGGTTTGTTTCCATTTAATTGCTCAGTCAATAGAGATCTTTATTCACATATAGCATTTATTTTCCTCTTAGCTTCTACCTGACCAGCTGGTCTTACTTCTGGAGTCTCTCTTGGAGGAGAAGACACTATGTCCTAGAATACTGCAGTCCTTAGAGAAAACGTACCAGCTCCGGGAGCAAGATGCTGAGGTAATTCACTTTAAAACAATCCACCTAACATACGCCATTGCATTGTTGACTTTGAATGGTAGTGTTCTACTAGGATCTAGGCTCATTCAAGTTCCTTCTTTTTGTGTCTAAATCCAAAATGGAAAGTTCTTAACTCCAGTATTGTTGCAACTTCAGATGTCTTAATTACTCGGTATTTCTGTGTGTTTTGCATAGGTCCAGCTGTGTTTGTGTACCGTAGTAGCAGGAGCCTAGATGTCGTAACCATTGAACATGTACTTTGGGCAGCACAATTGCTCAAGTGTTGGATTTCTCACTATTCATGGTGACTGTGTGATAGAGCCTGGTTCATTTTATTTGTGTGTTTTGTTTCCAAGTGCAATCATGCCTGCCATGGTCTAAAATTATTCTTCCCTGTGGTCAGCCCATATTGTTCCTCTTTGAGTGCTCCAAAGTCTCACTCGGGATTTAGAAAAGTTTGCTTTCCAGAGAGACTACAGTATATTCTGGTTTGGGGCATCAGTTTCAGTGGGAATCAGTTCTTCACAGTTGTGTCTAGTAAGTGCCAGGGATGTTAACAATGCCTGAGGAAAACACTGCTGTATATGATATTGTAAATGTGACTTCCCCATCACAGGCACATATGAGGCTAGCATCCCTGCTCCAAAGATTTTAATGTCTTTGTGGGCCAAACCAGTAAATCCTTATTACCACATGCAGCACTGGCTATTTTGTAGAGTTCCATGGATTTCTCAGGCTGGGAGAGTTGTGGTGATTAAGGCAGCAGAAGTTGTGTCTGAAAGCACCCTTGGAATGAGTCTTTGCTTCGAGTACATAGTATTCAGGAGGGGACGTAAGAAGATGGAATCAGTCATGAAAATAGAAGATGTGTAGATTTATAGATCAACAAGTGTTGGTTGTGAAGTAGCATATGATCAAACACGTGCAGTGAGGGAGCACGGTAAATTTAATGTGACATTTGATTCTTGTTTAATTAAAAACTACTGTGAAGGCTGCAGAAAGTCAGTATGCATGACTTACCCTGTTATAATTGGAACTTTATATCAATAATTCAAATTGAAGGAGAGAGCAAAATCTCTCTTGTTAATCTTGTGCGGAAGTTGTAGGTTGAATACTTGTAGACACCTGGGAATCCAAATATTAATGTAAAGAGTGATAGAACGAGGATCTAGCTTTTTTCTCATTGAAAAACAGACAACATTTTGACTGTTGCCATTTACTGCACTTTTTACCTTTTGTTGATACAGGTTTCCAAATGCCAGATTTGTTTTTAATTACTACTTGAAACAACATTTCTATTTATAAGTATTAGAATATATTTTAATCGCATCTGAATACCAGTGAAATGTCAGAGGCTCTATAATGGGAAGAGGAATTAATAGGGAGATAGATCAAAGCAATAGCTGTGGTGTTGCTGCTTCTCATGCCTGTGAATTGTAACTATCAGGCCACAAGCTTTGGTTTCTCAGGGTTTTTCTTTCTCTCCACTTTCATGCTTGCTTTTTTCCTTGCACTGTCATATAAAAGTACACAGGCAATCTGTCTGAATTTTTTCTTTTTTTTAAAAAAACAAAGTTACAGCCTCAGTCAAAGGAGCATAATCTCCATTTAATTTTACAAGGTGAAACCAAGGGCTTAGCAGACATTGAGAAGTACAACTAAGATAACATTACCATTAGCATTTTACCAGTCATCAGACCCCTGATACCTACAGCCCTTTAAAGGGAATGTTAGCTTACACGCCCTCACATACCTGCAGGAAGAACTTTTCATGGCTCTTTCTCCAGTATATGCACAGGAGAGTTTTCTTGTCGTGACCCAGGAACAAAGAACTGCAGTCCAAGCCTATAGCAGAGCTGTTCTTTTCTAGATTTAATTTGTGAAGATATTACTCACTGCAGAGATCCTGTTGTGTTACTGGAGTTTAAATGTTCTCAGTAACTAAACATTAGAAATGGATCATTAAAAATTCAAGCATGAAAAATTGGAGGCAGGCCAATAAAGAAAGAAAACTGTCAATGTCAGAGGTTTTATTCAGGGAATTTTGTAAGTAAGGTTGTCAGCTGTGTTCCATCCACCAGCAGAAAGTTAAGAAGTAAGAACTTATTCTTTTATTTTTGACAAGTAGTGTTTAAATTCTCACTAATCTTCCAGTAGGGATTAGCAGTGATATGTCCACTAGTATGTGCAAGTGGTACACAGAGAAGTTATGTTTCTTTGTATTTTAAACAAAGTTTGGTCTTAAAAATTGTAAATAAAATGTAGTCTGCACACTCAGGAGATAGAAGGCTAAATTGTACATAAAATGTAGTCTGCACACTCAGGAGATAGAAGGCTTTCCCTGTATGTAATGTAGGTCACTAAAAGGCCTTCTTAAAGCATCAGAGGGTATATAAAAAATAATGCGTATATGTACTGCTGAGTACTCTTGTGAGTGCAAGAGTGTTCCACACTTTGTAGTACTTATGTGTAAAAAGTAAAGGATTTGGATAATCACACCTCGTCAGCTAAGTGTTGGGAGGGGTAAAGGGGACAGTTGTCTGTGGATTTTACTGCTGGGATGAAATCAATACAGAACCACCATCCTGTCTCTGCCCATTTTAAAGGACCTGAATGTGCTGTATGGACAGTTCAGTGCTGTAGCACGCTGGCATTGAAGGACCACACTGAAGTTAGCACTGGTGAAGTACTAGGGAAAAGTTGCCCAAGGTTGCTTAAGCCTGGTTGGCTGGAAATGGTGGGCATTGGGCTTGTTTTGTCTTTGAGTTACTTTACAGTTCACTCACTGAGAAGCCTGCGTAACACAGCTCACTAACTCGAATTTCACAAATGCTGCAAGAGAGCTTCTTAATTGGGGGTTGTTTAGTCCTACACATGTACAGCATGGGAATTCCTGGTTCATGTTTCTTAAATTTTTATATCTGTATTTCTGAAGCATCTTTATTTCAACTTTAAAGTTCATTGCACTTGTTATAAAACAGTGTGTACAAGGCAGTGTCTGCACTTGCCCACGGCAACATGAAGGTCTGTCCTTAGCCAGTGAAGGTTGCCAACAGCACTGTTTGGTATTTCTAACCACTTGTTACCACACGCATGTACAGTCTTACCAACATGAGGGTGCACCTTCAGAAAGGAGATGAGTGCTTCCAGCAGGTTATCTGACTTGTTTTGATTCCTTCATAGCAGCAGGAGTGGAGAGAGGTATGAGTTAGCTTTTGCCTGAAATTTAACTGTTGATCTCTCTTCAAGTAGTGCTCAAGCTGTGTCCTTCCTGGGATCTTCTCAACAACTCAATTCCTGTCCTCTCTCAAATGAGTTCTCACCACAGATACGTAGCTTCAGAAGAGGGTAGGAGGTCAGTTGTAGCCTCTGCTTTCTAAGGCAAACACTGATTTGAATACTTCAGCTAAAAAAACCCATCAGAAGTTAGGTAACATATTTCTGATTCATAATGCATAACACATCTCTGATAGCAACCTTTGAGCCACAAGAGCCAAAAGTAAGATACTGATGGCTTAATCACTTTCATACTGATCTGCCCCCAGTCTTGGATGCTACAAGAGGCTTGTTAGGGCATCTGCCTAATTGCAGAATTTGTGACTCCCTCCTATTTTTTTCAGTCTACTTCTATAACAAATAATGATTTTGTTTTCTGTTTCCTGTTTAACCTTGGAACTTTCGAGAAGGCACAAAAGGAAAAGTTAGTTTTCCAGAGATTGAATTCACTGATGTGAATTATTTGAATTGAGCATATTCAATACATCTTTAAGCAATGTTTTGAGAACGATGAAGGTCTCAAAGTTTAAAGCCATTTTTCTCATCACCTTTCAGTGCCTTGAGCTCAGACCTGGTCAGACATGTGTGAGGCAATTGCGTGGAAGAATAATTGTGTTGTCAGTTTTCTTTTCCTGTTCCCTATTTTCTTGCTCTGCTGGTTCCTGCTACATAGTAAGATAGATCATAGGCAGGCTACATCTCCATAATGTACCACTGTCTCAGAGAAGCCTTACAGAAACTGACTGCAGTTTGAAGATGACAAAGTCCAGCTGGAAGCTGAGCTGACTGAGGAGAACTGGGTTATGATAGAAAGCAGCTTCCGTTGCCATCAGACAGTGTAGTAGGTTTACAGAATTGAAGGTGGGTCTGGGCTTGCTTTCGTTTTGTTGCTTTCTGAGGTGACCATTTTATGCAGATATTTAATTTTTTCAGTATCTAGTGTCTGACAGAATGTGGAAAGTTGGTCTACACGGAAAGTTTCTGGTTGCCAGTATTTTTTTAAGTCTACCTAACCTTGATGACACCTCTTTTGGTATCACTATGCAAGCTTATCTTGTTTGAGCATAGGCTGTTGAGGACTTTCATTATAAAACCTGGAATCAGCTAGTTAGAAAGATCTAAAGACAACACTGGGGACTCTGGATAACAGTGAATCTGTTAACTAGAAGAACTCTGTGATTATTTCCATTATTTCTGTTCTATCATCTTCATTTGGTCAGGGAGAGGCCTGTAATGTGTGTGTACACATGATCACAGGACGACTGAGTAGTCTGCAGAATAGTAAAAAACGCAACATGAAAAAGATCGGTAAGGGTGTAGAAGAAGGGCAGTGGGTGTGTGTGACACTTTTAGTCTTATTTAAGACTTGACAGTATTTCTGCAAGTGTGTTTTACTTGTTGCTGAAGCATCTAAGACCTGGTGATAAAAAAATACAGAATATGGGTGAAGCAGAAAGATTTATGGTGTATTTTCCCAGACTTCTGACTGTAGAGTTAGCTTTTCTTTCTTTCCTACTGCAGGCATCACTTTTTTTATAAAATACCTTGTCTGCATACCATATGGAAAGTAACTTTGTTAGTTTTTGTTGTCTCAGCAAGTTGGCTGAAATGATCTTCACTTACATAAGGCTTTCACTGTGTCCAGAATCATAATGTGGTATATTTTAGGGAGAGAGGAGAGACTGTAAGTGTTTCTGCAGAAAATGTGAGTAAAATGAGTTAAG